GACCGTGGGTCTCAGGCGCTAGCAGCTACCGATCACATCAACTCCAGGGAGGTAAGCCGTTGCAATTCCAGGTGTTTGCTCTAGGCCGTATCCAAGCATGTAAGTCGATGCTTTGCAGGCATTGGGCAACAATGAGGGGATGCGTAGCTGCAGAAGGCTTCCACACACGACCGGCGCCTAGAACCTCACATTCCTGCTGCACCTTGCTTGACTATGGGTGAGCCTTCTATGCGTGAGCCTTGTCGTGCACAGCACCGAACGACTAGTAGATAGAACTTGAACTCGACGTCGGGCTTGCCATATAATCTACCATAAATTTAGTGCCATACTATACCATAACTTATAACACAGGGTGTTTTGTCATGTGGTGTACCATGCCACTATATCCTGGTACTGTTACATTTGGCAGCCAGAAATCCCCGAGTCCTGAGGACTCCTCCTGCAGCGTGAAGACCTGAACTGGTTCCTTGTTGGGGATATATTAAAAATGATCATTTTTAACCCTTGTTAGGGTTTTATTATAACAAAAATGTAAAATTGTATCCAACAAGGACCCAGTGAAGCTGCGCACGTCTTGATGTGAAGTTGGGTGCATCACAAAGGGGCCTTAATAACTAGAGCAGGGGTTTGGGGGCATCTTGTACTATACTTGGAAAGAGGAACCCCCAAAATAGTGTAGGTAATTATTAAGGCCCCTATACGTATTAGTTTCAGGCTTTCGGCGCTCACACTCGGACACTCCAGGCGAGGCATGCGGTTCGAGGTCTGATTGATGCGAAACACAAAGCAAGCGCAAGCATCATCCACAACCCAATTCAAGTTTCGGGGTTTTTTGCCTTTCACTTCGCTAGGACGAGCCCGCGTTGCAGGGGGGGTTTAGGGGCTTGGGGCTCAAGCTTTCGACTCGCACAATCGCACTGGGCAGGCACGAATTCATAGGTCAGGGTTTTTGAACGCCGTTTCACAGGTCAGGGCTATATAGGGTTTAGGGATGTTTAAGGTTTATAGTTTTCTGGAGGGTAAGACTCCACGAGCTCCCCAAACTCAAGAAAACTAAAGGGATAATTTTGCCGGGTCGAAATCACACCGCCGTTTGGTGGTGACTGTGACTAGGCTGCCTTGCAGATGGTGAGGATGTCTTACCAGCGGGAAGAAGGAGGCTTTTACATGTCAAGATTGGGCCGCCTTCACAAGCACATTTTTTCACAAGGGACTCGACTGCTGCCCTTACCGACAAGCGCATAAAGTCTTGAATAAAATATGCGCCAGCCAGTAGCAGACTCCTGTTGGCCTCGGTTCTATGGAGCTTTCTCAGTTCGGGGAGCCCGAATGCGGCTGCGGATCCTGTCAAAACTACTCGTCGGAAGTGGACATCGCAGGTGGAGACAGCCCCAGGTTTTGACCTTGGCATCCCTGGTGCCTCGCCTAACTGGACCTCTAGGGTACCAGTGCCCTAAACCCTAAACCCTAGATCCTAATAGGATACCAGTACCCTCCGCACCTCCATTGGAAGCAGACCCAGGATCTCCAAGGGAGTCCGACGCAGCTCCTGTCGCAATATTCGGGGCCAGGGCGTCGCTCTGAAGGAGCTTAGGCTTGATGGGTTTAGGGCCTCAGTGCCTTGCTTGGCATAACAGTTTGAGCATCCTTACGTGTAGGTTAGAAGTCTTGCTTCTAATGTTCAAATGGTGGCACCCGAGATCGAAGCCATCCAACCGAAACGATATGCCGGATCAGCCGATCGAGAAAACTGAGCTGCAGACTTCCCACTAGGGTCACGAGCGCTGTCTCTGTCTAAGAACAGGGTGCTGGCGCTGAGGTGTTTCGAGCTACACTTGTTGCACCTTGCTGCTATGAGCAACGACAAGGGTCATACGTGTCACGGAACCACATCATGAATGAAGGCAAGATTGGTGGATTACGTCTTGACACGGTGTCATGAAGCCCGCCTCCAGCTACCCCAGCAAAAAAAACACGAACAGGTTGCAAGCGAGCTGCCAGAAAGCTGCCCAAGCCTGGCAAATCGACCGGACTTTTGCATCGGCTGCCTAATATAGGGGCCTTAATAATTGGAATAGGGTTTGGGGGGTATACTATACTATACTTATAATAAGGAGCCCCCAAAATAGCATAGGTAATTATTTAGGTCCCTACATTACTTACGAAGCAATGTACCAGCAGGATGTGCCCCGGCCTGCGCACTGGAGCCGCGCCTTTCCAAGGGTCACCCAAGAGACCACGGCTGTCACTAGGATAGTGCTTTGAGGTATAATAGGGGTATATATTATTCTTCTACAGTTAGACTGAGCATCCCTGAGCAATAGTACTACTAAAACTGCAGCTCCTATATTAGAACCACCTTGCGATAGCAGAGGCCCAAAACCAAGCCCCCGGCTTCCTGAGTGCCCATTACCTGGATCACAAAGAACTGAATAAAGAGTCGAGTCAAGAGATACGAGTAGCAGACAGAAACCTTTACACAAAAAGCAGACAAGGCTGCACAGTACAGATTTTGGAAAAAAGTTGTAGAATAAGGAGTGTTTGTCCATAAGTTCAGTGCGCTCTCTCTCTCTCTCTCTCTCTCTCTCTCTATCTATCTATCTATCTATCTATCTAGCCGTCTATCCATCCATCCATCTATCTCTCCCTATCTCTCTATCTCAATCTAGATCTATACCTATCGTGAAAATACTCACGTGTCTATCTATCTATCTATCTATCTATCTATCTATCTATCTATCTATATATATATATATGGGTATATGCTTTCGTGCGGGTACGTGTATGTATGTATGTATGTATGTATATGTATGTATGTATGTATGTAATTGCATGTATGCAATTACATACATACGTATGTATGTACATGTACATGTACATGTACATCTACACTTGAAGGTTGTCATACTGGTAAGCATAAACGTGGGAATACGCAGTACTAGCAGTAAGCAGACCCGAAGATTCGTCAACGCCTGAAGCGCTCTGGTCTCCGACACGTCTTCTACCACGCGGATGCCGGTGGCGAAGTCTGCAAACCGTGGGTGCTTGAGCGCCTGCGGGCATGTTGCTGCTGCTTAAACCGCTGGGCTTCCCGGCGCAGGTCAGGTTGAGGGTGCTTGTTCCGGCTGGCTGTGCAGTACTACTACAACAGCAAGGTTCTAATCCGAACCACGCCAAGAGCAAAAGATACTTCAAAAAAACGCGTTGCGGATTCTATCTTTCCCGAGCTGGGGGTAGCCATTTCGCAACTGCGACTTTTGCGAGTATCGCGGGCACTGCATGGAGTTTCTGTCGTGTCCAAAAAAGTATCTCATCACTTTAGGCAAACCGTTCTGCTTGAAGTATACTTGTTTGACCGGAGGGGCTAGGAACTACCTCGCTGCCGATCGTCAAAAGCCATGCTTGCTGCTATGCAGAAGTATGTGTATGCTTCTGTATTGCATTTTTGCATTAAGCACCGGCAACCTGATTCTCACACATCCACATGAGCCCTAAACTCCGTTTCCTAAAAGCCTAAACCCGTAAACCCTAATTAACCCTTAAACCTTAAACCCACACCCTTCAACCCTAAACCCCTAGACACCATTTATGTCACCCTTAACACCCTCAGCCCTAAACCTTCCACGCCTCTGGAGCCCACTGGCCGAACCAGGCGTCGATGATCCGCGCCTCGTCCGTGACGGGTCGCCGGATTAAGAACGAGGCTCTCGTCTTAAGGCCTAACCGCGGAGCCTTATTGATTAGAATCGGGTTTGGGGGTTCTTTATGGTATAATGATACTAAGGGTTCTTGTGGATCCCATGATCTACTGTCTTATCTACAACTTTGAGGCCACAGCCTACCGTCGAATAGAGTTTGGGTATGCCTGTGCAGGATATGTATAGAACACCTTGGGACCTGGCTTCGGCACGCCCTTTTGGCGCTTGGCGCCTCCGGGTGACCGGGCTCAACGTTCCATTGGATCCTTGTCCCTGTATGGGTGAGATTTACTGCTCTGTGGATGAGCATACTGGCCTGTTGTACCATGTTGGATCAGCTGCTCCGAGGCAGCCGCCAAAACGACGATCGCCCCAGGCCGGAAGCGAGCCACTCTTGAGAACACCGGCCATGGCTTGTTCGCCAGCCTGGATCGCATGAAGTTCTTTCAATTCCTGGCCAGCATCGCCACCTTGCCGTGGCTCGCCCCAGCAAACAGCAGAGCCATCACCCAGAAGCGCAACGAAAGCAGAATTGGAAGCTTGGATGTGCTGCACATCCTTTCGCCGGTCTTGGACACTGCTACTATCACCACCATAGGCAGGATTGCCCCATGTGACGACAGATCCGTCGCCAAGGATAGCCGCAAAGGCCCCGACAGAAGCCTGAATTTTCTTTACATTCATCACCTGGTCCTCAACACCGTCGCTGTTCCCGCCCCCCTTCTCGTCGCCCCATGTTACGACGCGGCCGCCAGCAGTGATGGCAGCAAAGGCATCGTCCGAAGATTGAATCTCCTGGACATGTCTCAGCTGTTCCAGCACCTCGCTGCTGTCTCCACCTGCTTCCTCCGGGCCCCAAGTAACAACGGATCCATCAGCCAGGATAGCAGCAAAAGCACAGTTGGTCGCTTGGATATGTTGCACATCCCTTAACTTCTCGCACACCGCGCTGCTGTCACTTCCAAACTCCGGGTGCCCCAAGAGACGACGGACCCATCGGCCAAAATCGCCGCAAACGCTTCATGCGAAACCTGGATATGCCTCACGTTCTGCAGCTGTTCTTCGACGGAGGAGCTGTCTCCGCCGGAGTCAGGAAGCCCCCAGGTCACTACAGACCCATCTTCCAGAATGGCAGCGAAGGCATACTTGTTGGCCTGGATTTTCTGAACGCCATGAAGCCTGGGTTCCCCAGTATATAATCCCTTAATAACAAGGGTACCCTTGTTCCTGCTGTTTGGTTTTAATTATAAGGGAAGCCAAAAAGAAAAAGGGCAAAAGGGTACTACTGGGAAACCTAGAAGCCGCTCTTGCACTGCGCTGCTATTGTCGAAGTCCGGATTTCCCCAAGTCACAACACGTCCATTGCCGAGGAGGGCAGCGAAGACCTCTGTGTTGGACTGGATCTCGCGAACATCTTTAAGCTTTTCCTGGACAGCTGCACTGTCGCCGCCGCAATCTGGATTACCCCACGTCACAACACTCCCGTCGCCAAGAAGGGCAGCAAAGGCAAAGAGCGACGCCTGGATTTTCTGGACATTCACGAGCCGGTCTTGAATGCTGGAGCAGTCTCCTCCATTGTCCGGATCTCCCCAGGTCAGCACGGACGCATCCCCTTGGATTGCGGCAAACGCCGAAGCATCGCACTTCCACCGCGCACAGGCCACTTCCACCTGTTGCGTGTGCAGAGTCACGACATCCCCAGTCTGCAGACCGGCTTGCTGGACCGTTTCTGTCCCTGGCAAAACCTGTCCTGCAGAATTCGCCACCCTACTGCGGCCGACGCCCAGCAGCGCCTGAGCCTTTTGGGCCAGAGCATCGATCGACGAACCAGCTTCCACCTCTATAGTTTCACTCCTGCCACTCAAGAGCGCAACATCCACGCGGACTGACATGGCAACTTCAATCAGATGGGCCAACCCCGAGTTCTCAAAGCGCTTGTAACAGACAACTGTAGATGCTGCACTTGCACATGCTATATGGCTGCCTTGAAGCACGAAAAGCCCGCGAGCACTGCAACTTCTGGGTTACCGTTTGAACTTAGCCCGACTGAGGCCATGTATCATGAAGGAGGAGCTGGAAACTGCAATGCAGCAGTGAAGATCAATGCACAGCAACCCTGTCAGCGCCCTAAACTCTAAACGCCAAACCCCTTTTTATGCATGGGCTATGCATATGCCAGGAAACCGAGCCAAAACCCCAAAACTCAAAACCCCTTTCATTCAACAACCCCGATGCCGATGACTTGTACTGAGGCCGCAGCCCATCGACCTCCAAAGCCATCTTTGAGAGAAGTCCGCTAGCAGGAATGACCTGGTACCTGCCACGCTTCAGAGTCTGATTCTTGACGGTTTAGAGTTTAATGTTTAATTAGTATTAGGGTGTACACCGGAAAGAACAGACCCCAAAGCAAACCTGGCAGGCATGCAGGGCAGTTGCCAGTTCAAGTGCGCGTGCAACAGCAACGGCGGCAGTTGGACTTGACCGCTGTTGCTGCATGTTGCTGCGACTCTCTTGGTGCCTGTTCCAGACCCTCACCTATTGAAAAACTCCTCATCTTCCTCCTCCTCGTCCTGTTCCGTCTCTACTCCACAACTAAACAGGACGAGGACGAGGGTAGCACGACCGCGGCCATGTGCACGAACAACTAGTTATACTACTACTATTATTATTACTACTACTACTGCTACTATTGCTACTACTGCTACTACTCCTACCACTACTGCTACTACTGCTACTGCTGCTACTACTGCTACTACTGCTACTACGACGACGACGACTACTACGACGACGACGACTACTACTACTACGACGACGACTACTACTAATACAAATACAAATACAAATACAAATACAAATACAAATATAAATACAAATACAAATACAAATACTACTACTACTACTACTACTACTACTGCTACTACTGCTACTACTGCTACTACTGCTACTACTGCTACTACTACTTCTACTACTACTGCTACTACTGCTACTCCTACTTCTACT